TTTAAATTTTTAATCGCATAATAAATGATCAATTTCATTAATCAACTATGAACTCTAATACTAGTTTTTGATGATTTCATAAATGTATTTCAATTTATGATTCTGATATTTTTATTGTATATAGAAATGATGTTAGAAATTTTAATATTTTGTTAACTCTATTAAATGACAAATTCTAATAAATAAAATATTTCTAATTTTAAAATTTCATAAAATAATTCATATTTTTAACAAATCTCAAATAGTATATGTTTGTAATTTGCCCAATTTCATATAAAAGGTTGGTTCTTTGCTGTTAAACTAGCTTGCTTTTTCACCAGCCGATAATGCAAATTGGATTGGAGGTCCCCCATCAACCAAGTGTATTTGATTTCCTAAAATTAGCTTCTCTATAAAAATTTGAGATAAATAACAAATACACTTTCTGAGACATGTTTAAAATAAAAAATGTTTTTTTTTTTGTAATTTTAAAAATTATAAATTTTTCTTTGTCTATAATTTTTTATTTAACAAAATTAATAGAAAAAATAACTCCCTAAAGTAATAAAATTTCTAACAAGTTAAAGTTTACTAAATTCCTAAAATATATAAATCAAATTTCTAACAGAATTAATAAAATTTCTAACTATCTATTGAATCTACTAAATTTCTAAAATATATAAATTAAAATCTATTTAGTTCCTAAACTATCGATTGAATCTATTAAGTTCTTAAAATATTTAATTTAAACCTATTTAATCCTAGAAAAAATTACAAAAATAAGATATAAGTCCATAAGTATTATAAATTAGTAAAAGACCCTATCTAGTTAAAAATTTATTTCAAAAACACTTCAAAATTTTATTTTTTCTTTGAAAGTGGGCTTCAGTTCTTATGATGAATTTTCTTTATAGAGTACGGTAATTATTTATAGTATTTTCTTACTTATCTTCTACAATAGTTACATTCTTGCCTTTATCTAGTATTATATGTCAAATTTCATTTATAATTTCTAATTAATTATTTTTAAGTTTTTTGCTAAATTATTTTTATAACTTAATTAATGTATTATTTTATTCTATTATTATTTGTAGTGAAGTATTATTATTTAAATTATCTAATTCTATTTTTTTAGTATATCTAATACTTATATAATTTTATTGGCAAAACTGAAAACCAGACTATAATACTATTTTAAACACACAACGAAATAAAATACTTTTTAAAGACAAAATAAAATTTTAAAATTTTCCTGCAATAAAATCTTAATTAGGTAAGATCTTTTACTAATTTATAATACTTATGAACATATATTTTATTTTTGTAACTTTTTTAGGAACTAAATGTGTTTGAATTATATATTTTGGGCACGTAATTGATTCAATCGATAATTTAACGACTAAATAGATTTTAATTTATATATTTTAGGGTTTAAGTAGACTACTCAATAGTTTAGGGATTAACTGAATAATATGACAATAATTTAGGGGTATGAAGTGTAATAAACCCTTATATAAATTATATAGGGGAATTTGGTCAAAATTCTCTCATTATAAAACTTTAATGCATTAAGGATAGGGATACTTACGTGTAGGTCCTATTAAGTGAACTTATTGTCAAATAGGTCCTATATGAAAATTTTATTATTAAAAAAGTCACCAATTGTAAATTTTAGCGACAATTTATAAAAATCATGACAAAAAAAAAGTCACTAATTATCAATTTTTAGCGACATATAAAAAATTGTCACAAAAAAATTATTTTTAGGGATAATTTTACTAAGACTTATTTTCAATAAGACTTGATAGAAATTAAATCTAACTATTATGACCTATTGGTAGTTTACCTTTAAGAATTTAAAAAAATTAATAATATTTTAACTTTTTAAAATTGAAAGTTGCTAAAATAAGCATTACTACGGAAAAAACATGCTACGACAAAACATCACAGGACTGATAGTCTCTCTATTATATCATCTAAAAGTTAAAAAATAATAATGAGAATTAATTATTATTTAAAATTTAAAATAAAATAAAAAAATCATTACAAGCTCTGAGATAATGTTATAGAGATTTTACAAACTAGAAATTTTGTCCAGAAATTACTTAGAAACACTAATATGTAGTTTAGATTCATTTTGTATACAGATCTCACAATACACATTTTTAATCTCCAACGCATACTCCATTTTTGACCCAAATCTAAGATTGTAAATCTGAATTCTCATGCTTATTGTTACGATAATGTTACAAACACACAACTTTACAAAATAGTACATTGAGGGCCCGTTTGTTTTTAGAGGTAGAATAGAAGGGATTAATAGTGAGGGGATTAAGTAAAATTGTATTTGTTTTGATAATAGTTGTTGGTGTAGAGATTGTTAAATTATTTTTATATAAAATAATAAAATAATTAAAAAAAACACAAAACTATTAAACATTAATGTTCAAAAAAAAATGTCCAACATGTAAAAAATAAAAAATAAAATAAAACAAATAAAACTATGATTTTTACTTAACAAAAAATATAAAAAAAAATTAAACATTAATGTTCAAAAAAAAAAAATACCCAACATGTAAAAAATAAAAATAAATAAATAATTCGGCAGACTATTTTCTAATACCAAGTCCCAAGCCTCCATCATAATCCCTTCTCCAAGCCCATCCTAAGATTATGAATCCTCTCTCCATCTCCCAAAACAAACACAATATTAGTGAATCATACCCCAATTCCAATCTTTTCTCTATCTCTCAAAACATACGGGACCTAAGTGCATTCATCATGAAGATTGTAGATCTTATTCAAAACAAAATGCAATTTGAAAATGAGCAATGTTACACATTCACATTTTCACTCGCGTAAGGAGTTAACTCTCATATCATTAAATGTGTAATAAATTCAGAGTTGACATATATGGGTGTTTTAGGAAGATGGTGAAACATTGATTTTTTTTTTACTATTTTTAAGGTTTTTATTTTTATTTATTTATTTATTTATTTATTTATTTTTGAGAGAGGAAATGGGTTAAAAGCTAAAAAGTAGCTATTAGGTATATAGGGGTGTTTTGGGAACACACTAAAAATGTTAAAAGTCAGTTTTTAACCTATTTTTGATCACATCACCTCTCACATAAACACAATAAAAAAAAAATTAAAAACTAACTTTTTACTATCTTCTCAAAATACCACATAATTATGAATATTTTTTTATGGTATCAAACATTTTCCTTCGAAAATGGGTCCCCCAAAGAATGTACCAAATGGTAGTAGTTGACATTGATTGGTCTAGAGTAATGACCTATTTTAAGAAGTGGGTTAAAAGTTACATCTCAATTTTTAATTCACTCTCACACAAAAAAAGAAGAAGTTAAAAAGTCAACTTTTAACTATCTTCTCAAAGCACCCCTATATATTAGGTTTCTTTATTTTATAAGGGCATTGATTTAGATCTCCTTAAAACACCCACCCCCACAACCCCCTCACACACATGGAGGTTGGGGATTGGATGAGAAGAAAAAAAAAAGAAAAAAAAAAAAAAAAAGTTGACCAATCAAAACTAAAGGGGATTAAGGGGGTCTCAACATTTATTCATTTTATAATTTGATCCCTTTTTTTTATTTTATAGCACTATTTATTTATCAGAAATGCTTTAGACCACTAATTAGTGGTGGCTCTAATGATGTGGCAGTGGGTCCGACCCGCTGCCACATGTGTTTTGTGCCTTGTTTTTTTTCTTTTTCTTTTTTTTTGCAATTGCCACCTCACTAGTGGTGGTATTAGTGATGGTAAATTAGTGGTCTATAGCATTGGTCTTTATTTATACAAAAGAAAATCTTTTCGATTTGGCAATTATAGTCCAATGATTTTATCATATTTGTTTTAAAAATAAATAAATAACATATACTTAAAATCACAATTATCTATTTTTTAAGACAAATATGTTGAAATCATTGAGTGAGATTATTAGATTAATTTATTTATTTATTTCATGAATAGTTCACATAAAATGAATAAATTAAATAGAACAAATTTCACTTTACTATCTTATGATTTGACCCTTGTACAGAATACCCCATTCTCATTTGGAAATAATTATGCTTGGTTATCATTTTTTAAAAACACTTTTTAGAAAATTCTACTCATTTATTTTTCGTATTTTTTTGTTTTTACTGAATTTTTTTAATATTTTGAGCAATTTTTTTAATTTTTAAACATACGTAACATACATATACCTAAAAAGTAAAAAAAAAAAAATTGAAAAAAATCTTTTAAAAATTCACTAAATACCAAAAATACAAAAAAAAATACGAGAATTCAGTACATTTTTTATATTTTTATGTATTTATTAATTTTAAAAAATATTTTTTCACAAATTTTTTACTTTTTAAATACATCTAAGTAAGGTGCATCTAAAAAAGTAAAAAATGTTTAAAATTTTAAAAATATTCCCTAAAAACAAAAAAATAAGAAAACTAAAAAACTCAGTTTTCAAAAAACTTAATTCAAAAAACTCAAACCAAACATACTAATTTTCTTGTGGTTTGTGGATTAAAATGTACTACTAAACATTCCGTCCAATTTAACTGTAAGTGTAAAACACATGCCAGTTGTAAGGAGCTTATGTGCTTATTTTCAAAATTTAATAAAGTAAATTGCACATAGAATAAAGTACAAAGAGTAAAAATAGATTTTGTCTTCCAAGCAAATAACCAAAATATTCATAGTTCACACATTTAAATTACTTATATACATGAGTATTTTAGTCATTTTTATTAAATTATTAACGGAGTGCACTTTAGTGTACAAACCATAAAAGGACTATGTAGTTATTTTGAAATAAAAGGAGAGTAATCCACACGGGAGTTAATCCACAACGGGTAAAATTTATCCAATTAGATAATCAAAATGGAACGTGTGAATAAATTCAAAAGTCCAAACTGAACAGATTAAAAGTCTGAGAAATCTCAATTTTTAAATGTCGCATTAAAAATATAATAAAATCTATATTTTAGAAGAAAATCATAACAATTAAAAGTATTTTGTATTATTTGTTAAACGAAAGAAATCACATAATCTTATCTGTTGACAAGAAACTGTACACAAACATATCTCTAGTTTCACCTTTATTAAGCCCATACTTCCTCAACAAACCTTCCTTCGTAAACCCAACTTTCTCAAGCACCCTTTGAGACCCTTTATTTTCTTCCTCCACCAAGGCCTCAACTCTCACCAAATATGCAAACTCTTTAAACACACTTGACATAGCCATCTTCAATGCCACTGTCACTATCCCTTTCCTCCAATACTCGGCACCGATTGCGTACCCAACACGCGCTCTGTGCCGATCATTGCCAGACTCCGGCCTGACAGAAATGTACCCAATAGAACAGTCATCGAGGCATATGGACCGTCGCCATGGATGAGGTATAGCAACCTCTTGGAGGTACTTGAGAGCCTCTTCTAGGGAAGTGATTTTGTTCCATCTTAGGTAGTGTGTGACTCTCTCATCTTTAGCCCATGATAAGAAATCGTCGGCATCAGAGAGTTTGAATGGCCTTAGAGAGATTTTGGATGAGTCCATTGTCTAATTTTTTGCAAAATTGGAAATTTGAAGATGGTTTTAAGCCCAATTGGTTTAATTCAAATGGGTATACGCTAGTTTAGCTCAAGAGTATGGAGTGTTTTATATATGGAGGCTAATGTGATGTTAGTTTCCTCCATCATTCTAAAATAAAGAAAAACAGATTGGAAGTTCTAAATTAAGAATTTTAATAGTTTTAATTAATGTGTGAGTCTTATGTGATGTGATATTTTGATCCTAATTTTTTTTTTAATTTTTTACATAATTAATGTCCTTTTAAAACTCTTAAATTAAAGGGATGGATCATTTCTACTCAAATAAATTATCAACAAACAGTCAAAAAAATAAAAAAAAAATGTCTGCAGCCTATCTTGACCAGCTGAAGCAGACTGACTACTTGTTTGAGAATGAATCATTAATTCGAATGACCACGTGAGTGTTGACCTCGTGGACGCGTTCTAGGGGTGAGTCAAGATCGAATTTTTTGGGCCGTGGAGTTACGGGTAAAGTACTTCAATTGATATTTGGTGTATTTTTTTAAGATTTTTTTTAAGTGTGCAATTTACACTTTACATTTATATTTTTTTTGTGTACTGTCCTGTTTTATGTTTACATCTTCCATTTATACCTTTTGTGTTGGTTGCATATGGTGTACAACCTTAAGGGGTTGCACACCATAACAGCACCCTTTTTTTTAACGTGTGGACGAGATCTATTAAGTGTTTTGGTGGTAGATATCTTCTTATGATTAAATTAAAATCAAGTTTGATAATTCTTAAAAAATTTAAAAAGATAAAAAATTATTCAAAAAGTTAAAATGTTAATATTATTTATCAACAAAAAATTTTAAAAAAAATAATATACACATATTAATACAAATAAAAAAATAAACTCATGGATTGGTACTGACGAGATGGTGGAGTTCGTAACTAGGGAAAAAAAATTATAGTAAAATAGTCACTAAATTGGATGGTAGAGCTGGGCTCGTGAGGGCTCACCATGGGTCCCGTTTTGATAATCTGAACCGTTGAATAATTAGAACTCGTCTATTACTATATTTCTGTAAAAAATCACATCTACCGGATATCGCTAAATACATGATCAAATCAGTTTTGTATAAAAATGGATGGTGTTGTAGTTACCAGTTAATAAAAAAACTAACACGATTAGATAGCTATTAATATCCAATCAACGTGATTTTTAGTACTCGACGAGTTCTACACATTGAATGGTTCCAATTAGTAAAACGGGACCCATGGTGGGCCCCCATGGGCCAAACAGCACCAACCAATTTATGCCCGAAAAGTAGAGAATCAATCTCCTACACTACCCTCTGTCGCGTTACCCTTTAGGCTTCCAACCGTACGGCCTATTCCATCACTTTATTCCCCTGTACATTTATTTATACAATTTTTTCATAAAAAGTCAAAACATTAATCCAAACATCCATATTTTTTTTCTCAACTTTTTAATTTAAAAAAATAAAAAGTACACTTATTTCTCAAACAACCTCTAAATCTGACTGGTAATCGATTGCTTTAGGACCAGGATCCATGAATGCCATCATATCTCTACAAAGTTTTTTTTTTTACTGATAAAAAAATCATTAAGTCGAATGTCTTAAATTTAAGAGCTATGATAGAGACCCCCTCCAATCACCACCCCCACAGACACGTGACGGGTGGTGATTGGAGGAGCAGGGAAAAAAAAAATATAACCAATAAGAGAGAGAGGAGGTCAAAGGGGGTGGAGGAAAAATGGGGCATGAAACATTTTTGTAAATTTAATTTAATTTTTTATTTTTTATGAACTATCAGGAAAAAAAAGAAAGATGAATGCCATGGCTTTTGAAATGCAAATTGAGGGGAAGTTTTTTGGTCCACTTTACATGTCATTCGACAAGATCAAGGTCCCACGATTAGTTCAAAGATCAATTGCTTTAAAAAAATAAATAAATAATGTTTGATTCACTAGAATGAAAATAAGAATTTGAATAAAAAATAAAGTGATACAAGATAGCAAAAGAGTTAATCATATATTTATACATAATTTTTTTTTTTTTTTATCGACTTTGTATAGTGATTAATTCATATCCATTTAGTGGACATGAACATTAGACAATTTACTATATTATTTTATATTTTTTAAACTCAAATACTTACTATTTAAATTACATTAATCACTAATCTACCTTTGTGTGATTTCTATTAAAACATATACTCGGAGTGGGTGTAGGATGGAGGTTTTAAAGTAGACTCCCCCATTCATTAGATAGAGATTTTGTGTGATTTCTGTTGAAACATATACTCGGGGATAGGTGTAGGGTGGATGATTTTAAAGCAAACTCTCCATTTATTAGATAGTGAAGATTATCAAGATTTCGTGATCTACTACCAAACTTATTTCAATTTCAAGAGCTTGGATCGAATCAATATATCTGAGAGGGTAATTTTTTGGGAAAAATTGGGCCGAGCTGCGAGTTGGGCTTTGTGGCCCAAAGTGCGAAGGACTAAGTAAAAATTCCGTAATGGTTACTCCGGCCCAGGAGAGGCAAGGTTACTCCGGCCTAGGAGAAACAAAGTTACTCCGGCCAGGGAGGTAAAATTACTTCGGCTCAGGAATTATAAAGATACTTCGGTCTGGGAACGATTTAGAGTTATGCCGGTCTTGAAGTTGTACTGGCCGAAAGTCATTGGTTCGGTCTAAGACCGTACCATTGGTTGTACATGGGAAAACCGAGATAAGGATAGAGTTAAAAGTGGAACCGAACTAAGAATAGTTCGGTTTACTCAGTGGCTCTGCATAGCCAAGCTTATCTCGGTCATATAGTAGTTCGGCCAAAGTAAAAACCATCCCACTTGGTTTAAGCAGTGGGGGAGGGTGTAAAAGGATAAGCATTATCCTTAGGAGTATGAATCCTAGGAGGACTCTGCATGGAGGAATGCAAGTCCAACTAGGATTGTGCCACTCGAAACCTATAAAAGCTCACAAACATCACCTTGGAGGAGGTAACACTATTTTTTCTGAGAACATAGAGCTTTGTCTATTTGTCAAGTTTTCTGACTTAGGCATCGGAGAGGTTTCCGGCACACACCCGCCGGCTAGCTCACGTTTGTGTTTTCAGGTGAGAAAGTGACGTCGTACGGAGGAGCGTGGACCTGGTCAACAGGATTATACGAGAAGGCGTATTTCTTTCCCGTACAATATCAATGAGCATTCTCATGAGATTTTGTCTTGAAGAGGACTCAAACCTCCACGTTCTTTAGCATGAGATTTTGAGTCTCCCGTGTCTATTTACCATTTCACCAAGGCATCTTGAAAGTAAATCATATTCCTTGAATATGATATATATATATATATATATATTTAGATATTTTTAGTGGGATGTATGGAATATATTAAAGGTTTTGTAGATTTGAAAAAAAAAAAAAATTTCCAAATTCCACAAGTTTAGCATAGTTATACTATAGTCTATTAGGATTTTAATTCACATAATTGTTTGTCCCATTTTTATTAGTCATTGCTTAGTCATATTAGAAAATTAATATTATCATTTTTTTTACACTAAAATATATATTTTATCTTTAATTCATGTTTCTAGAAATAAGTCAATATAATTGTGTCAAATTTATCAAAATTATTTTTTTAATTTAATTTAAAAAATAATCAATATAATTTACTTTTTATTAATTTATTATTTCTGCAATTTTATTGGAGGAATTCTAAGGAATTGGAATTCCCTTTCTTTTTGAAGTATTGAAAGCCAGATAGCAGACATTCAACAAGAGCTTCAACAGGTCTAGGTTCATCTTAACCAAAGTGGGCAGACTGATAGAGAATTGGCATTGCGGCAACAATTGGACACTCTTCTACACAAGCAAGAACTCTATTGGGCTCAACGGTCAAAACATGTATGGCTACAACTTGGAGATCGAAACAATCGATTTTTTCATCAAATGGCATCATGGCGAAGGTTGAGGAATCATATTTCTTGCATCCAGGATGACCAAGGCAACATAATCACCGAGCCCACAGAAATAAAAAAATAAAAAAAAACTTTTGTGGATCACTTTCAGAAATTATTTGCAAAAGCTCCAACAATGTGTGAGGATTTCCCGAATCCAGGTTTTTTCCCTCCTCATTTTAATATTTTAAATCTTGTCAATTGTTATTTAAATGCTGAACAACTTGGGATACTTGATCAACCGTTTTCGATGGTGGAAGTCAAAAATGGGGTTTTTCAAATGGGAAAATTAAAGGCTCCTGGACCTGATGGATTTATAGCAGATTTTTACCAAACATACTGGGACGAAGTGGGACAATCGGTTGGCGAGTGTGTGCTTACCTTTCTATAGGTCTTTAAATTCAACATATTTATGCCTAATACCTAAGAAGAAGGTTCCACTCACTGTGAATGATTACATACCGATAAGTTTGTGTAATGTGTTGTATAAAATAGGGGCCAAACTATTAGCAAATAGACTTCGAGAAATTCTTCCAGACTTGATCTCCGTTAATCAAAGCGCGTTTTTAAAGGGGCGGTTGATCTCTGACAATATTTTATTGTTGGGTATACCTCTTTAGCGGAGTATGGGACCCAATTGGTTTATTAAAATATTTAGTTTGGTTTAGTGTTGGTTATAATATATTGTTAATATATTATACCTAACTTGTGGAAGCCCAATGGGTATTTTATAATTAGTTTGGTCGTAACTAGGGTTTTGATAAAAGACCCAAGATTCAACAATATATATATATATATTGTTTATTGCTCTTCCCGAAGGTGTGCGGCTGCTACATGGTATTAGTGTTCAATCTCGGTGGGTGCCGTTTTGGCTACAAAGGCTTGGAAGATTTGTTTGGGTGCATATTTGACTTCTTGAGTGGAGATTGATTTGGGTCTATTATTTTAGGTCTTCTATAATCTGTTTCGAAGATTTTTGTTCATCTATTTGGTGAGGTCTTTACTCTTGATTATTTGTAATTATTTGAAATTCACATAAGGGTGGTTTGTGAGATCATTCGTGTCTCGTTTATAATCGTTTGGACACTTTTTGGTTGATAGTGGAATCGGATTTCGATCCCGCAGACATATCTCACACTGAGGGAACCATGTAAAATTCTTGTGTTGCAATTGATTTAATTTTTTCGCATTAGTTTTT